AAATGATTATTACAAGACTATAATCACTTGTGAAAAATTTGAAACTAATTAATTCATTAATAAATACATTATTTTTTTAGCACTATTCATTTGCAATTAAATCAATAATTTGTGACTAATTTTAATCATTTGTAAAATTTTATTTATAATTATAGTCAATAATTAGTTACAAATTATTCAACATCAATCTTTTAAAGCCAAATGAATAGTTACCTATAAATGATTACTAATAATTTATAAAATTATTTTATGTTTTAAGCAAATGCTGAAATATATTTTTCAGTAGTTTTTAATGTAATTATCAAACGTCAAAAAATATATTTTTAAAAAACAACTTCATAAAAAAAAATTCTTTAAAATTTTTTTTTAAATTATTTTTTACCAAACAAATGGAGTCTTTATTGTTAAAAACATAGGGGCAAATAAGATAATCAATAATTCTTGTCCAACTTTCATTGATTTCATGCATGAGCATCAATGGTATGTCACTTCATACTACAAACACTCAAGTAAAATTGAATTAAATTGACCCGTTAAAACAAGCTAGCTAATTGTCAATAATTTTTATCAATTTTATGCATTAAATGAGAAGTAGGTCATTTTTTACTGTGAGTACGCGAAGAAAACTGGTTTAAACTAATGTATAAAACAAAGCCGTCGTTATTAACTAACTCGTTTCGGCGCTATATTCTCAAGAAAGAATATTTTTACTTTTATTTCTAATGGGACCCACATAATTTCATCATCCAAAACAAACAAATCTACACCGTCAATCACATAATTTCCCTTTTCGATTCCTTGTTGGGTCCCACTTAATTGTTTCGGACCTAAGGTCCCCGTACGTCCCGTCGGTATTTTATGGCACTGGCCATTTATATTGGCAGGCAAACCGTCTCTTTTACTGCACAGTTTATCACGCTCCCCGTTTGCCTCGTGCACTGCTTCGGCGCGTTTTTTCACGGTCAAATTTTTTGTCCTTTTTTTCGGTTTTGTTGCCAATTAAATTTGAAGACGATGGATGCGCCCCTACGGATTGAAAAAGGCGGGTCCATGATCATTGATGTTGATTGTTACTCTCTGACTGAATTGGCAGTTGGAGGCAAAGCGGGTGTGATTAGGTCAAATCGGGGAACAGAATGGACATGGATTGTGGACCCGGTGGGTCATATGGGTAGTTTTTGGGGGATTGCACCTCCTGCCTGTCGTTCCTCAGTGGGTTCCATTCCTTACAATTTAACTTTGAATTTCGGGAAAAAAAAAGAGGCATTATTTAACTTTGAATTTCGAAAAAAGAAAGCACTTTAGAGGTTTTGGCTCTTAAATTTTGGGGATTTTCGGACAAAGAGTTTCCAATTTTTTTTGAAATTTCTTAACAAAATAACCCACAACAAGAAGCCAACCCAACGTAGAGGAGGCGACTAGAAACAATACTCAAAAGCATGTTCTTTAAAGCGAGTTTGATTTGATGAGTTGCCTAGAAAATTTTAACACTTGAGATAAATTAGATTTGAAAATAAATCGATAAGTTATTGACACGATCTAATAAAAAATGAAAAATCAAACTCATCAGTCAACCTAGTAACCATCGGTTGATCCTGTGATCTGCTTACTCCAGCACTTTGGCGTGGTAATGTCATGATGGGTAAAGTTTAACAACTGTACTGGAAAATAATTTACTTTGAGCAAGACTGGCCCATAAACAAGTCTAGTACTCCATAAGTCCACAGCTGGGGTTCTATTTAAGTACATAAAAAGGCCTTGGTTACTACTTACTACTTACTGTAGTGGAGCTCTCGCAGTCACTGACTCACCAAGCCCACCTCCAACAGTCAACGAACACGACAAACCAACCAGCAAGGTGGGAATGTGCCATCGCTCCTATAGAGCCAAGGCTCAAGCCACGGGCAACTCCAAGTTAACCTTAAAAGGTGAACATTATCCGATTAAAATTAAAAAAAAATTAAATCGAAATTATTAATTCGATTTTATATCTAAAATTAAAAATCAAACTTATTTTGATTTGATTTCTACCAAAAATCAAATTAGTGTTTTTTTAACAAATATATACTCAAAATTCATAGCATTTTTCTATAATTTTTTTTATTAAAATTTTAATTTAAGCTATTAGTATTTCTTAAAAATAGAAAAAAATTACAAAGAAGTGTATTTCAACTTGGTTCTAGAAAAAATTCAAAAGAAAATATGAAAAAAAAATCGATTTTTAATTAAAAATCGAATAATCAAATAAAAAAATTAATTTTTTAACTAAAAAACTAAATCTTAATTCGATTCGATTTTTGTTTTTGTTCGATTTCATTTTTTTTAGTCAATTTGATTAATCAAAAATCGAAATCAAAGAAAAAAGCTGAATAATTACCTTAGTAAATACGAAGGGCTTATTCCTAATTTTCCGGTTGTGTTTGGTTCTATTAATGATCTCATTATCTATGACACCTTTATTTCGCAATGCTGTGCTTATTAATGAAATTCAATTCTCATTTTTTTTCTGTCCCACTCTTAATTACAATTTTCAAAAACGTCTCGCCGAAACCATTAACCACACAATAGAAAAGCTTGTGCCCGTCACTGGCTTTTTATTTTTATTTATAAAAGACTAGCTTATATATAAGTTGATCACGAATTACCCGTGTAGAAATCAAAATTTTTAAGGTATTTTTATAAATAAAATTAATTAAATATTAATATGCTATTTCTTTTTTTTTTTTTATAAAAAAAACCATATCAATCTAATAAATCTTTAAATTATCTTGTTTTTCATTTTTCCACGATAAAAAAATATCAATGTATCAATTTGATCAAGATTAAATTCTCCCTTAATATCACGTTTTTTTTTTACAATGACCGTGGACAATAATACGACAGATCAAATCTATTTGTTCGTAACCACTGGAATTTCTTAATAACTTCTCATTCCACGGTACATTATGCAATGCATTATAACTTAAACTATAAGAGGTTGTAACTTGGAAATCAGGTGAAATTCGTAGTAAAAGATAATAATATTTGAGTAGATAAAGGGAACCAATTAATTTGCACCATTACAATAATGACTCATTGTTCTCTTTCAAAGTTCTTTGAAATTTCATAACCATCCACGTGGTGCCAATTGATTGGGATAAAATAATGTTTTCTAAAATTTGAATTAGACTGGTTGATCACAGGGCAAAAACATGTTAAATATATGAAAAACGCTTCATGAATAAACCAAAAGAAAGAGAGCAAAACACGTTGTATGCAAGAAAGGAACAACGAATTAAGACACGCAAAAGATGCCAAATACATTTAAAATGAAAGTTGATTCATGGTAGAAGTGAATCACAAAACACAGCAAACGAATAAAAAGAACACTTCAGTTATTTTAGTTTTTTTTTATTTTTTTATAACCTTCTTTTCTAGTCTGGATTCCTCTATTGTGTTTCAAATCATGTCAACATGATTTTAGAAACACGTCATCATCTCCATCTTGGATTTTCAAGTGGGGTGAGCAACGTCCCATCATGTAATTAGGTCAATCCCACTTTTTTTAAACCTTCCATCATCACCAAGGGGAGATGCGACGGTACACGAAGTGGAACACATTCGAAAGCAAAGTCCACCCCGATGGTTGAAAATATATTAGATTTAGTGGAATTGGTCAGATTCCAACAAACGAAAGGGGACCCTCTGCTTATTCGTTTTATAAACAAAATCTTTCCAAGAACCTTCTCTATCAGTAAAAGTCGTGAACCGAAAAAGGAAAAGAAAAGTTGCTAGCTAAAAAATAATTGCAATTCTGACTTAATAAGATAGAGAATTTCAAGGAATTGACATGGTAGTTCAAAGTGTTTGCTTGATTTTTTTATTCAAAATTTGAAATTAATATTAACAAGAATTTATTAATTATAACAATTTGAAAAAAAGGTTGCGTCCGCGTCATCATTTGGAAAAAAAATATTTTCCGTTGGACGTATAAACTCATTCAAGAATATTTTTATTATCAAATCAGTAATAAATAAATACATAAATTATACAATATATGCAAATTATTATAGTTTTGTTATTTTGATATTAAATTTGAGGCAATTATGTCCAAACCTCTCTTCCCTTGAAAAAAAAAATCTCTCTCGTAAAATTACATTAGATGGTCGAGTGTAGTTCTTTTTTTTTTAAAAAAAAATTAATGAACAATTAATTGAGAGAAGACTAAAAGACTACAAAAGAAAGCTGTTGAAGAGATATGAGTTTTAGGTTGACTGAATATAAGTTGTTGAATATTGATGAAGACGACAACGACCCATTCCTAATCCGCACCAACAACTCGTGATATGATGAGGCATCACGGCCAATAACTTCTCAAGTACCAAAATCTTTTTCAAAGTGAAAAGGAGGTACCAAATATATCTTTTCGTGTAAAATAATATTTTCATTCTAAAAACCAAAAAATAGATTTTCGGAATTAAAATCTCTCATGTTCTTTCCTGTCATATTCACTTAAATTAATTTAAATATACATAAATCAATAGGATAAAAATGATAAAAGATTATTATTTTTTTATTTTTTCTAATGTATTTGAAATAATTGAATTTAAACTTAATAGCAAGATTTTGAATATAACCACTAATACTTAAAAAAAAATCACATGAAAAATAAAACATTTTATTGTAAAAACTTATTCATCGCTCTAGAAAAGAAACAACGTGAAATATATATATATATATATAAAGAAGCAGGAAAAGGAGAATCGAAAAAAGAAGAAAAAGAAAAGAGTAAAGTAAGAGGCTGGTGCCCCATGTTTTACTCTGTTATTCCCAAAGCCGATCCTCCCTCTTCCACTTCCTCTCTCTTGTTGACTCTCTCTCTGTCTCTCTCTCTCTCTCTCTCTCCCTAAACTACACTTCCTCTCTTCCAAACAGAAACCAAACCCTAAAAATCGATTCCTCTCTCTCTCTGAGAAGCAGCGGAGGAGCTGAAATCAACAACATCTTCATCATTTACTACCATGGCTGCACAGACATGGCTATGGACTAGTTTAACTGTTGCGGTAACTGTCATTTTGACTGTCGTGAATGGTAACTCAGAAGGAGATGCTTTGTTTACACTGAGAAAGAGCTTAAAGGATCCTGATAATGTGCTCCAGAGCTGGGATCCGACTCTTGTTAACCCGTGTACTTGGTTTCACATCACTTGCAACCAGGATAATCGCGTTACTCGCGTGTAATTAATTAATTCTTTGTCTCTCTTTAAATTATTTATTTATTTATTTATTTTTAACTAGGAACTTCAAAGATCTGTTGTTTTTATTTTTTTGAAGAATTTGCTTTCGGCTTTTCAATTTTATTTTTTTAATTCTTGAGGTTTGTTTTTTTAGGCTTTCTTGTTTCAGAATTTAACATTTTGCTTCAATTTTTGTGGGATTCTTAGAGGGCCGTTTTTGAAATTAAGAAAAAGATATGGATCAAAATTGTTGAGAGCATTTTTACTGTATAGCTTCACAAGTTTGCGTAAAATCTGTTGATAATGTTGAAAATTGTTGAAAGCATTTTGTTTTATTGGATGCGAGCTTATACTCACAATTTCCTTTCTTTGCCCTTTTGAGAATTTTATCTTAGTTTGTCGGATACTTTTGCTCAATATATAGGTAAGATGCCTCAGGTCAGGTCTTTGAAGATTGGTTTTGTGAATTTCATTTATGCTTGAGCGACTTGTTGCCATGACGAGGGAAAAAAATTTGTTACAAAATTATCGATAGTGGCATGTGTGAGGTTTGAAGAAAAGTGTTGGTTCCTTCATGCTATGTTTAAAAGCGTATGTATCTGCTATGCGGAGTATGGGAGTTATTATGTATACTTTGTTTTTTCATGCTGTTGGGTGGAAGTGAAAAATGCGACATTTGGTGCCCCCTTGACCAAATATACATACTTAAGCCGTCAGAAATGATGGGATTTTTTGGCATCTATGCTGCATTTTTGTTATGTTTTGTGCTTGTCATGTTAGACTTTATTAATTTTACCTTCTGATCTTTTTATTTTCTTAATCGATCAGCTTTCTTGTCGTTTTCTATTGTTTTATTATGACAATCGTTTTACCATTTTTGTTGTTTAACATTCATTGACCGATTGATCATTTCCTTTATATAAACAACAATAAATACTTCACACTTCAGTATTTAGATGAAAAAAGCAGCAACCCTCTTTTAATGATTACAATTACATTAAAAATTATCTATTTGTCTATATAATTTCATCATTGTTTTGGTAGAACACATTGCTCTAACCTGTCACATGTTGTCATCCATCAAATTCTGATTAATATGCCATTTATTCTCATTTACATCCTTTGACGCATTCTGTTCTTTAGCTTTGTTTTTTGGGCAGTGATTGTACCACTACATAGAATTTGTACTTTTGAGCCTTAATTAGCATCTAGTATTGTTTTATTACCTCTTGTTTATTAATTCTTTCAACAAGTCCTTAGAATTATTGCTTAACGTTGTTTTCATATCTCGTGTTGTTACAGGGACTTGGGGAACTCAAATCTATCTGGACATCTAGTACCTGAACTTGGGAAACTCCAGCATTTGCAATATCTGTATGTTAGCTTTACCATCTCCTTGATAGTAGTTGCAAGTTATTGGAATAGTTTCAAATTTTGGTTTGGCTTTAGTTTGGTACCAGTGGCCTCTGTTGTGTCTGCATGTGGATATTGTTCAGGGATGTATATTCACTTGCATTTGATGTTTGGGGCTTGTTTCCTTACCTGAGACCTCTGTCATCTTTTCTGGTGTAGGGAGCTGTATAAAAACAACATTCAAGGACCTATACCCAGTGAGCTCGGTAACTTGAAGAGCCTCATTAGCTTGGACTTGTACAATAACAACATTTCAGGGACCATTCCCCCTTCACTGGGGAAGTTGAAGTCTCTTGTCTTTCTGTGAGTATAAGGAACTCTAACATTATGTAGGACTAAAATGCTCCAAGAGTTTTCTTTTCCTCTGTCCCCTCTTGGTTTGGAAGTTTGGTACATTTGCTTTTCGAATTCACTAGTTTGTCTTGAAAATTATAGTCTCTCTCTCTCTCTCACTCACACACACACCCACACTGTATGTATGCTTGCTCTGGTTCATAGTTTATGTGGAATTGCAAGATACATTGTCCCTCATTTCTTTCATTATGGGTTTTATTTGGCAGACGACTTAATGACAATCGATTAACTGGACCAATCCCCAGAGATCTTGCCAATGTATCAAGCCTCAAAGTTGTGTAAGGACTTCCCTCCTTTTTTTGTTTTTTTGGATAAAAGAAGGATTTCTTAGTCGAGACGACACATTCTGATCATCAGCTAGGGAAATAACCTTGAAAGAACTTGCTGTACTAATGTTTATTCCCTTGAGGAAAAATGTTCCTCGAAAACCCTAGATGTCTTCTTTGTGCAATCACACCCATAAGCTGAAAAAGAACTAATCACGACATTCAATTTTTTCTAGTTACAAAATCCTCAAAAGAAATCAATATCAGGAATGTCCATGATTCACCATCAACTTAAGAGGGAAAAAAAAAAAAAACTGAGCCATATGTTCTGAGCTGTTGAACAGAGAAAGAAAAGACGAATTCAAAACTCCTCACTGTAGTGGAACATAACAAAAATGTAAGGTGAAAGAGCCTTTTGGCTTCATCTTTCACATAATCCATCCTATAAAATATCTCTTCTAGACAAGTGCTGACTAATTTAGTTTCTAGATTTCCCTAGAAATTATTTCAAGAACATGTTTTATTTCATTGCTTCTGGTAATTAGCTTAAATGGTCAGATGCTTAAAGAAGTTTATTATATTTTCTATATCTCCAGGGATGTCTCGAATAATGATTTATGCGGAACAATTCCTACCAGTGGACCTTTTGAACACATCCCTATGAACAAGTAGGCTCTCTTAATTTTATTTTCTCTGTCAACAATTTCAATTTGGTCATGATTGCCCTTTGAACAAGTGAACGTCATGATGCTTGATGTGTGTACAGTATAGTGACTTGGATTTTCTGTTGTTTCCTTCTTGGTCATCATTTTTTTTATATCCAAAATAATAGAGTTTGATTTAGTAGAAAGCTGTGTTTTAAGCCCTTGTGTGGTACCTCATGCTCTTTGGTTGTGATGTCCCTATGTATTTCTTATGGATCCTGGGGGTGATGTTAGGTTTTTTAATTTCCTTTTCTTTTCCCCCCATAGTTTTAGATCTTATGAAAACAGTGCTTGATTTTCAAAATACAGGACCAAGAACCAAGCCTCAATTCCAAACTAGTTGGAGTCCACTATTTGAGCCTTTTGCTTCATTCTGAGCAATCCTAAGCCTTGAAAATCATAAATTCCTAAACGCTTCCCTCTTTATGCAAATTCTCTGCCAAACTTCAAATCTTCACATCCAACTCAATTTTTTTTCCAGTGTGTTAGGGTGCTGGAGAATTCAAAACCACATCACGACTGGCTTTTGCTTATTTTGATTACAATTAGAACCACATTGCATTATATAGTGCTTGTGCTTTTGTAGTTTATGCTACTATCAATTTTACTGGATGTTTGAGCTTTTGAAGTGTATGTCTTCAAACCAGTGGCATGAAAAGCTGCAGGTTTGTGTGTTGCAAATTGGATACTACCTGGAAGCAAGATAAACATGATTCTCATATTCTATATTCCACCTGGATTTGTGTGAGCACGTCATTCATAAGATGGAAGGGTGTGATCTAAAATAAATTAGCTGCTTTTTAGCCTTGTATATAATAATTGTCAACAAGTGTGTGTGCGATTGAGCCTTCTATAGTTGTATATAACATATGTCTGAGCAAGTGGAGAAGCATTTATAAATGCAAAAATTACAATTATTTTTCATGTGGGCAAATGAAGCAATCCTTAATTTTGCTTGTAGCTTTGAGAATAATCCTCGACTGGAAGGTCCAGAGTTGCTGGGACTTGCAACTTACGACACAAATTGCTGGTGAAGAGAGAGACGCCATCCTGCAAAATGTCAACTGTCTTGAATCGAAACTGTACTTCACAAAAATCGGAAGTGTATTACCTCACACTATCAGTGTAAAGGGATTGGCAAAATGCAATCCCTCGTATGATTATCTGTAAATCTTGTGATACGGCTTTATATCTTAGCACATTTGTAACTGCGTTGTTGTGTTTGTTTTAAGATCATCAAAACAGGAATTCGTACTAATATAATGCTAGTAAAGTATCTACCTAATGTGGGTTTAGTGTGTAATATATCAGATCATACTGCTTCATCTTTTAGCGTTTGTGACTGCATTATTATGCTCCTTCTAAGATCAAATCTAAGTATACAAATATACATTAATTCATACACGTATCTATGCACATGGCTAAGACATCTGTTCGTTCTTTCTTTCTTTGTTTTTTTCTTCTCTTTTTATTTACATATGCCTCGTGCAAATTCTTACTTCTTACATCACATGATTATCGTTTTTTTTTTTTTTTGGTGTAATTTTTAGTTGTTCCATTTTATGTTAATGAGACAGAGGGTGTCAATTCTTATCTTATTAGATTTAGAAGGATCAAATTATTTCAGTGTCCCCAATTTTGACTTTGTTTTGAAAGGACATTAAGGGCATTTTAGTGGGCAAATTACCTTAGTATTCTTAATCTTGTACCGGTTCTAGAAGAGTTATGGAGTCCTCAGAGAACCGTTGGTACTATGGTTGCAATAAGTTATGCCAGTAATTTTTCAGAAAAGAACATTTGAAGAAAGTTTTAGGTGAAGTATGCTTAGCTCCCTTTTCAATAATTATATCCTACTTATAAATAATTGTTCGAATCAAGATCAACTACCTTGTCTTATATACTGTATGCAATTTTATACAAAAAAATTGCTATCGTTTGCATTTTTGTTTTGTTTTGAAAACTCAATGGAAAATGTAAACCCTTTACAGTATTTTTGAAAAAATTGAGCGACGGTAAGGAAAATGGGCCACTGCGTACATGTGAGAAAATAATGACAAGAAAAACTAGAAGATTAATTTGAAGCAAACCTCTCCCTTTGCTTATTGGGAAACGACGAAAGGTACCAAGAAGTTTATTTTTAAAGAGTCGAAAGACCTATTAAGTTTCACGATATTTTTTATTGACTAAAAAATTCATCTTTCAATTTGTCTTCCACAAAACTTCAATTCTTTTAACATTTCGCAAATTACCTCCACAAACTATTAAACCATCAATTTATTCATGGAACACAAGCAACCACTTGGGAGGGAAAAAATAAAAATTCACAACTGGCATTTATTTTGTTGCGTGCCAAAAATATCGATCTCCATTCACGAACCAGTCTTGAGAAAAACTGGTTAACTGTGTGCGATCACAAGTTAAAGCTACTGCAACAGGACCAGCCACCCAACCAAATCATTAACCAACACTAAAACATCATCTGAAGCTTCCATTACCAAGGATCATCATATTCACAACACCTTTACAGCATTCGTTAGCAAGACTCTTCCAATGGATCAACAAACATTCATTAGCAAGAACCTTCACATGTTTTGCTCTCTTGAATGGCATATTTCGTATACTCCAAAGAAATGTAAACCTTTGTCAGCGGCATGATCCTTAACGTTTCACAGTTTCCCAAACATGTTTAGGAGAGTACATAAGATTGTCTTAAGCAGTTCTTACCTGTTAAATTGCCATGATGAAATTGACTTCGAACAGTTGGTGGTTAAAGCTCTAGCATGAAGTATGGTGGAGCTATGTCACTATTTATAGTCACACCAATTTGGCTTCGGGAGATCAATTTTCAGTAAGTTTACATTCCTCTTCCTCCTAAAGCTTTTGCAACCATTTTGATCCAAGAACACATACTGTTGTTAGATATACCAATTTAGTTTTGGAAGGAAGTTCCTGAGAATGACTCTGCAAGTATATGAGTCTCTTCCTCTTCATGTCTTTGCAGCCAGTTTAATCCAAGATTCTGCTTTCACTGCAATCTGGAATTGTGCCTTTGCTCTCTCCACTGGATCCATCTCAGTATTTTCAGTGTTATTCACTTTTTTTCACGGAGGAACTCCTCTTCAAACCGAATTTCTTTAGAGATGCTGGGACTCGAGTACCTGGGACCAAGACGGGACCCAAAGTTAAAATTAATAACTCGTGTTTTCATTTTGCACATGTAAAAGACTAGATAGATGATTTGTATAATCTTTTAGATGAAAAGAACTTTAATCTCAATCAACTCCCTAGACAAAGTTCATAGAAACTACCGAGTTACAAGAAGTTATCTCTATCAACAGTAATGATGACAGCTTGTGCACCATGATATCTATAAGAGGTCATTTAGTTAAAACTCAATTTAAAATAAACGCCCTTCATCATAACATGGGATGTTAATCATGTAATGGAAATGAAAAAGAAAACAAAGACTACACTAAAAAAATGAAAATCATCCCTATGAATTTCATTGATAAGAAGGGAAAGAAAGAAAAAGAAACAGAGTTGGAAAAGCTTACCTCTTAGGAGGAGAGGTCCATTTGCTATAACTGCACCAGCATGTCCCTGCATAAAATAGTAGCAGTAAAGAGAGGTCATACAGAGCTGTTAAACTAATAATATTCGAGAATAAGTCAGAACTCATGTCTTCCATTTCCTTTCATCAGCAACGGAAGAAACCATTTTCCATTACAACATTCAGGTACTCTGCAATCATGAAACTTACAGTTGTAACTATGGAGCTTAACTCTATGCACAAGGTTGGAGGGTTTCTATTTCAGACACATTAGAAGGCAGGTGAGGCACCCTGATTTCACTTTTTCTGGGGACATAACCTGATTGTCTAATTTATCTTAAGTAACTTTGTAAGGTTGCTATGAATCCTTACTCTATCTTAGAAAAAAGAATATCTTGATAATTACCGCGGTATACCACAAAATGCCTGCTGTCAACAATTTTAACTTGCATTAACAAAAGTTTTACCAGTTTTGACTTAAAAATATTGAGAATATCAATCAAGTTTGGGAAACAAATACACCCGTCCCCATTCCCCCCAGGAAGAAAAAGAAAAGAAACACAGAGAGAGATAATGGACAGATGCAATTTAGGTCAGCATAAAGAATGCTGCTCATTACCTTATCCGATGCCATATGCAAACACCACAAAGCTGAGGCGACATCCTTCTTAATACAACCCCCCATCAAGTATACAGCACCAAGAAGTTAAAGAGCAGCTGGATGCAACTAGAATGTAGCTAGCTCAAGTAAGGTCTCAAAACACATTATAGAAACATCATCAATAAATCATTCTGTACAAAAAATAAAATAAAATAAAACAAAACATAACTTGTCATAGAACCATTAGATCCACAACACAACAATTACAAAATAAAATTCTCACAGACAAGGGGAGGGGGAGGGCGGGATGCTACTTTAAAAACTTATTGTCAAGCTAATGATGATTTCTAATAGACCAAATTACACAAAACTTGGTTTCAATGCTATCTCAGTTGATTAGAGGTCCCAATTCTGAAAGCTTAAGCTATCAGGATCTAAATACCTTAAGAATTTCATGCAGTCTAACAATAATAAACTCAGGTACTTAAGCTATCAAGCCACAAAGCTCATAAATATGAATTCAAATTAGTTCACCAAACTAGAAGTTTTAAGTGCAGGAAATGAAACTGGTGTAGGATAAGAAATTTATTGTGAATATTAAGAATAAATCCCATACAAGTCCTTATTAAAACTACTTTAGTTTGGCTTCAGTTTGGCAGTATACTGTTGCGTACAGCTTAACTAAAGTAATTTTTGACAGCATGATTTCTGTATTGTGATGGAAATCTGAACCATTATAATATTTCCACAATAAAACCAAGCATTCTTCGTTTTTTAAAGATTGTGTGTCAATAGAATAGAAGCTTGATAAATTGATGCTAACATTTTCATGTAAGAACCGTCTATAGACACTAGTTTCAGTATGAAACACACTAAGCTAACCTCAACTCTTAGACGACAACCTAATTCATACTGTGCTTCTGGATCACCCATAACTGTAGTTTCCCCTAATAAAGCAGCTCCTCTATTTCATTATAAAAAAAGAAAACAACATCAGAAATGCAAATAAAAAAGCTACACAAACATACTGTGAGTCAAAAGTGACATGTAGATATCAGAATGGAAATAGGAAGGACAATATTCATGGAAATATTGAATGCCCAACCTCACAGAAACAAAGAATGAGCAAATCATGATTACAATTTGAGTATAACAAAAGCAAAAGCCTAAAGGGCATCAAAATTTCTTGAATAGTCGCTGATATTTGGGGTTTAAAATGTCATCCAAAGGATCTAACAAAACTGAGTGGTAGCATATCAAATCTAGAAATAAGCTAATCCAAACTCTCAAGCTGTCTTGACACACTAGTGCAGTAAACAAGTTCACATTTAGGACCATGACAACAGGCATACACCAAAGCAAGAACAAGTGGAGTAAAAATGAGCTTACACAGCTTTACATGCCCAGGAACATGCTACTTCATATGCAGTTTGGACAACCAACACCTAGCATGGGTATTTGAGCTGTCAAACTCCAATGCCAGCTCAAAATTCTCCTTTGCTGCCTAATATCAAACCCGAAAAAATAAACAAAACATGCGAAGACAAGCCAAATATCATTTTTAAGATTCTTTCTGTAGAGGAATGGATCATCTAAGCTATCTCCATTAGAATCATTAAGTTTGTGATTCTGATCCATTAGAATGGATCTTGGTTTGGCTCTTGAAAGGCCAACATCTATGATAATACCTGAGCATACATGTGTTGGTTGATATAGACTCCATCTTTATTACGAAGAACCTCAATTCCTAAAAAATAGGTCAAATCTCCAAGATCCTTAATTTTGAACTTCTGATCCAACAGACTTTTCAAATGATCAATAACCTTCTGTCAGTCCCTGTGAGCACCACATCATCAACATAAACCAATAATGCTGTAAAATGATTCCCATCATGACGGTCTTTGCTATAGGCACAATCATGACATAAATTTGCTCCTCGAGGTAAGCGTGACAGATTCGTAGGTTATTCAATTTTGATGCTCCAACTTGGGGGAGCTTGGGGGAGAGTAAAAGAAAGAATTATCCATAAATGAAAGAATTATTTTATTTTTAATACAAAAGATACTTTCCATGTTACCATATCTCAATTACCTAAACTTTAAGTACATTAATATTGTATGAATTCTTATGTATCCTAGCAATGAAATTATAAAGTGAATCTTTTCACATTCTTCAAAAATAAAATATAAATAAATAGATGTAATTATTGGATTATTTTAAAAAAAATGATATGTGATATTATGGAACAACATAAGAATTAAGATAAAATCCTAAAAGCTTTATAAAAATAAATAAATCTCTTATATATATATATATATGAGATTTATTTTTATATGCATTCAGTATACAAAAACTGATGGATCAACTAATCCAATTTTTTTTAATAAAAAGTCCATATAAAATGCAGTTTAATGCTAAATTAAATAGAGGAACAAAGGATATGAGAGGGTCATTCGGTCAAGCAATTTCATATTAGAGGCAATTGTTTTATCAAAATCCTTTTCTTCTTTATGTTGTATATAATGTTTTTTATTTTTTTAGTTTTTTTTTGTGGTAAATTCCAAAATAAAGTCAAATTAAATAAAACAAAAAACAGAAAAAAATGGAAAAATAATAAAGACGTGTTGAATGTATTCCTCAATCATTTCACGTGCTTTAATTCAAAGGGGTATTTATTTACACTAATAGTCTCATTTAAAAGAATTAAATTAAATGCTGGTCAAATTTAATTCTTAATTACAAAAACCCTGTCAGAATTTTTTTCAATTTAACCAGGCCAACAAGCATCCATATAATGTCGGAAAGGACGATCGAAAGAACAATCAGAGAGCCAAAAAAAAAAAAAAGTGACTTTGCAGGCGGTGGCTGACCCAAATTAACTAATGATACGCTGCCATATCAATTATTTCCTCATTTGGTTTCAAATTTTTAACATCCCACCACTAGGCTTATTAAAAATTTGTAAAATACTGTCTATCAGAATCTTGTATTCAGCCAAACGTGTTAAAATTCAAATTCAGCCAAACGACGTATGATAGTGGACAATGATATGGATGATTCATGATCGCTAATTAAAGCGTGATAAAACATGGATTGAATGAGCAAATCTTACAAATTGAATGGGGAGGGGCTGAGATGACGATTGAGGGCACAGTAATATAATTTAGCACGTGATATATAATAATAATAATTAAAAAAAAAGTGTGTGAAAGTGAGACCTCATGAACTAATGCAATCTGAAAAAACATACACAAAGCAGCCATATTAGGTATAACATGATAGGTTTGAAAAAATTGTTAAAAGTACTATATATATATATGTATATATCTTTTGCGATCACTTGAAAAAAATATTTTCTCATATATGTCTTTTTGTTATATTCTGTTGTGTGTGTCAAAAATGCCCTATAACCTCTAAAAGTAAAATTAATTCTGAAAATCCTTAAAATATAATAGAAAAACCCACAAAAAATAAAAAGATAAAAAAAACTAGAAAAGAAAAGAAAATTGAAAATAATAATAACAACATGTAAAATCTAAAAGATTAAAATTGTGTAATAAACCTTGTAAATAGAAATATATTTATGGAAATGAAATAAATTTTCAGGACATGGTTTTTCAAAATTTTCATTAGCTAACAATTTTTTTTTATGACTTATTTCAATTTTCTTGACATGTTTTAATTTTCTATGCTTTTCAATTTTCATAGTTTTTTTTCCTTCTATTTTTTTATTTTTTTAATTTTTCAAGTTTTGTAAAGTTTGCGAAACTTAATTTATTTTTTATTTTTTAGAAAATTATATTTCTTTGGATGTTTTAAGAATAATTTTTATCAAAAACAACAGCAAAATAATATATGGGAGAAAATATCCAGAGTATGTGAAAGTGAAAATTTCTTAAAATAAATATGTAAAAAAAAAAAAAACCGACGAGTATATAAAGTTAGATGGACACGTTAACCCTATTTTTTTTTTTTTGGACCCTTCCATTTCTTTTCTTTTGTTTTTCTAAATTTTAGGAACCATATGTTGAAAAAAAATAATAAAAGGCTTTCCGTGGACAATTTGTCCACGGAATCACAGACTTGCAAAATGCAAGTCGTGACTCGCATTGCACCGCCTAAATTGAGGCGGTGCAAGCAAGGGAGAGGTCTATAAATAGGCCTCTCCACCTTAGTTTGCAACATCCCACCATCCCATCTCAAAGAAGAGAGAGAAAAATATAGAGTGTTTTTTTTCTATTTCAAGAGAGAAATTTGTTGTTTTTTCCTTATAGTATATAGAGAGGGTGTAACTCCTATTATTTTTTATAGTGAAATTCTTCTATCTTGTCCGTGGTTTTTTTCCATTAATTTGTTTAAGGGTTTTCACGTAAAATCCGTGTGTTCAACTTCTTCTTTATTTCTCAAATTTATTAGTTGCGACCTCGCTCTATTCGATTAATAACACAACAACAAGTGGTATCGTAGCCATGTTGTAGATCCCGTAGAGTCCGTGATAGAAGCAATGGCGGCAAAGTTTGAAATCGAAACATTCAACGGGAGCAATTTCTCATTGTGGAAGTTGAAGATAAAGGCTATCTTGAGAAAAGATAATTGCCTAACGACTATCGATGAAAGGCCGAGAGAATACACGAGATGAAAATAAGTGGAATGAGATGGATGGAAATGCTATTGCAAATCTTCATCTAGCATTAGCAGATGGAGTGTTGTCAAGCATAGAGGAGAAGAAGACAACGAAAGGAGATCCGGGATCATCTCACTAAGCATGTACGAGGCCAAGTCACTCCACAACAAAATTTTTCTTAAGAGGAAACTCTATACTCTTCGTATGGCGAAATCTACTTCGAGTGACGAGCATGTCAATACTTTGAATACTTTATTTTCTCAACTCACATCGTTGGGTTATAAAATAGATCAAAGTGAACGTGCTTGAACTTCTACTTCAAAGTCTACCGGATTCGTATGATCAACTCATCATCAACTTAACAAATAATATCCTTACGGATTATCTAGTCTTCGATGATGTTGCGGTTGTTGTTTTGGAAAAAAGATCAATAGATTGTGGCTCGAGTGGGAGCTATAATCATGGTAGCTCAAAATCAAGAAGTAAGAAGAGTTTTAAATACTACAACCGTGGTAAAAAAGGTCACCTAAAGAAGGATTGTCGAGTTTGAAAAATTTCAATCCTCAAGGAAATGTGGCAAGCACTTTAAATGATGGAAACGCTCTATGTTGTGAAGCGATAACGTCACATAGTGATAGAAAAAGATTTGATGATGTGTGGCTATTCGACTCGGGAGTTACGTTTCATATGACCTCTAGGAAGGAATGGTTCTATCATTATGAACCTATTCCAAGAGGATCCGTGTACAGATTGTAATGATCATGCTCTAAAGATCATTGGCATTGGAACCATTAAGTCGAAGATGTATGATGGTACAATTCGTACTATTCAACAAGTGCGGCATGTGGAGGGCATGAAGAAGAACTTGTTGTCTATAGGACAACTAGATGATCTTGGATACAAGATCGATACCGAGAAGGGGATCCTGAAGATAATCAAAGGAGCGCTTGTACTTATGAAGGGAGAAAAGATAGCTGCAAACTTATACATGCTCGAAGGGAGAGACTTTACAAGAAGCGAAGTATCGATTGCTTTAAACAGTTCGAGTGAAAGATCTACAATAATGTGGCATCGAAACTTGGGCATATGTCCGAACAAGGAATGAAAATCCTTGCCGACCAAAAGCTACTTCGGGACTCACAAAAGTATCTTTACCCTTTTGTGAGCATTGTGTTATTAGCAAGCAGCATCGATTGAAGTTTAGCATATCAAATTCTAGAAGCAAGACTATTCTAGAATTGGTTCACTCTAATGTGTGGCAAGCATCGATTCCATCCTTAGGAGGAGCGAAGTACTTTGTGTCCTTCATTGATGATTATTTTAGGAGATGCTCGGGTGTATCCTATCAAGAGGAAGAGAGATGTGTTTTCGGTCTTCAAAGTTTACAAAGCGCGGGTTGAACTTGAGTCCGGAAAGAAGATCAAGTGTTCGAGGATGGATAATGGAGGAGAATACACTCGGTGATGAATTTGATACATTCTGCAAACAAGAAGGTATCAAAAGACAGTTCACGGTTGTATACACTCCTTAACAAAATGAAGTGGTAGAGCGGATAAATAGAACCTTGTTAGAAAGAACAAGAGCTATGCCGAGGACTTCGAGTTTAGGAAAGGCATTCCGAGCGTAAGCGATCAATACCACCTATTATATTGTGAATCGATCCCCATCAATTGCAATTGAGTTGAAGACACCGATGGAGATATGGACTGGTAAGCAGTTGATTATTCAAATTTTCATATATTTGGAAGTCCTATGTACGTGATGTACGAGTGCCCAAGAAATCACAAAGCTAGATCCAAAATCCAGGAAATGCTTATTCTTGGGGTATGCCGATGGAGTCGAGGGTATCGCATGTGGGATCCCACCGCCCACAAGGTTATTGTCGACAGGGAGGTTATCTTTGTAGAAACAGATCTACAAAGGAAAGAACAAGGTAATAGCACTTCGAAACTACAAAGGTACGAGTGGAAAAAGATCCCGAACAAAATGATCCTTCCGAAGCAAGCACCAGAGCACGAGGGAGAGGAACTAGTCGAGTTTGAAGTTTCGTAACCCCGATGGATCGATCGCACAGAAGGCGACTCGATTGGCATTCGGATTATATTATGGAGAGCAATGTTGCATACCGTCTTTTAACGCAGGAAGGAGAGCCATCAACTCTCCAAGAAGCAATGAACAACTCGGATGCATTTCGTGGATGACGAGCAATGCAGGAAGAAATCGAAGCTCTTCACAAGAACAAGACTTGGGAACTTGTGATATTACCACAAGGAAGAAAGCCCATTGGTAATAAATGGGTTTACAAGATCAAACAAAATGCCGATGATCGAGTGGAGCGATATCGTGCAAGGTTGGTGGCAAAAGGTTATGCTCGTAAAGAAAGGATTGACTTTAATGAGATATTTTCTCCTATGGTTCGACCGACAACGATCCGAGTAGTCCCGGCAATATGTGCTATGTTTGACTTACATCTAGAGTAGTTAGATGTGAAAATAATTTTTCTTCATGGAGATCTTGAAGAAGAGATTTATATGCTCCAACCATAAGGTTTTGAAGAAATAGGAAAAGAGAACTTAGTTTGCGGAGTTGACCAAATCTCCGTATGGTCTAAAACGAGCATCGAGGTGTTGGTACAAGAGATTTGATTCATTCATCATGAGCCTTGGATACAACGGACCCTTGTGCATATTTCAAGAGGTTTGGTGAAAGTAATTTTATTATCTTGTTGTTGTATGTCGACGACATATTGGTAGCAGCCCCAACAAAGATCATGTCAAAGAATTGAAGGCACAGTTGGCTAGAGAATTTGAAATGAAGGACTTAGGACCAGCGAAACAAGATTCTAGGGATGCAAATTCACCGAGACATAAATAATAGAAAGATTTGGCTTTCTTAAAATACTTATTTGAAGAAGGTTTTGCGACGTTTCAACATGCAAGTTTATAAGCCAATTTCTACCCCACTTCCTATTAATTTCAAGTTATCCTCCAGTATGAGTCCTAGCAGTGAAGAAGAGAGGATGGAGATGTCTCGAGTACCGTATGCATCGGTAATGGAAAGTTTAATGTTCGCTATGATTTGTACAAGGCCGGACATTACGGATGCGAGTGGGAGTGGTTAGTCGGTACATGGTGAATCCCGATAGAGAGCATTGGAATGCGATAAAGAGGATGCCGAGATACATTCGGGGAACCTCGGATGTTGCATTATGTTATGGAGGATCAAAATTTACTGTCGGTGGTTATGTTGATTCCGATTATGCGAGTGATATGGATAAAAGCAAATCAACTACAGAGTTATGTGTTTACATTTACCGGTGGAGCCGTAAGTTGGGTTTCTAAACCTGCAGTCGATTGTGGCTACGTCAACAACAAAAGCGAATACGTAGCAGCCTACACAAGCCAATAAAGAGGCGATCCAGTTAAAATGGTATCGGAGGAACTCGAGCACAAACAAGAAAAGATTTATCTATTTTCACGACAGATCGAGTGCCTTGCATCTTGTAAGGAATCCAGCCTTTTATTCAAAGACAAAGCATATACGAGTACAAGTATCACTTCATTCGTGAGAAAGTGGAAGAAGGAACTGTGGATATGCGGAAAATTCATACTAAAGACAACTTGGCGATTTTATGACAAAGGCAATCAATGCCGATAAGTTTATTTGGTGTCGATCCTCTCGTGGCTCCGATGAAGACATAAGCAACATGGGAAGACAAGATAGAAAGAATAGTGTGAAGATCCGATTGACTCTTAATCAAATCTTCAAGTGGGAGATTGTTGAAAAAAATAATAAAAAGGCTTTCCGTTGACAATTTGTCCACGAATCACGACTGCATGCAAGCTAGATCACAACTTGCAAAATGCAAGCCGTAAAGTCGTGACCAGCATTGCACCGCCTAAATCGAGGCGGTGCAAGCAAGGGAGAGGTCTATAAATAGGCCTCTCCACCTTAGTTTGCAACATCCCACTATCCCATCTCAAAGAAGAGATAGAGAAAAATATGAGAGTGTTTTTTTCCTATTTCAAGAGAGAAATTTATTGTTTTCTCCTTATAGTATAGTAGAGAGGTGTAACTCCTATTATTTTTTATAGTGAAATTCTTCTATCTTGTCCGTGGTTTTTTTCCATTAATTTGTTTAAGGGTTTCCACGTAAAATCCGTATGTTCAACTTCTTCTTTATTTCTCAAATTTATTAGTTGCGACCCTACTCTATTCGGTCAATAACACAACAACACCATATGGGCATAGATTGTTATCATTCTTATACCATGTTTTGTATAGACAAATTATTGATATCATAGATAACTAATAAGGAAAAAATCTGTTAATATAACTAAAATGTTAAAATTAGTAGAAAGTAA